TTGAGGGGCCATTTCCCATTAGATCTTAGAACAAAGATAACAATTTAGCAGATGGAAAACTTTTTCTGCTGAAAGGCCTCTTTTGTATCATCATGCTGTGATCTTGACTATGATTTAAATATTTCACACTTGTAGTGAAGCAGCAAGTGCTCACATCTGAAGGGCTTCACTTATTCTGTAACATTAATTTTGCATCATTGATCAAGCCTCACCCCCACCCCACTACCTTTTGAAGTCCTTTTGAGAAAGGCTCCCTGACCTACTGAAAATAGCCTTGCTGGGCTGATGTGCTGAGAGAAAGGCATTACTGAGATTGCAGTGTGAGTTGAAAATGTGAGCAGAGTCTATGCTTGTTGGGGAGGTCAGGTAGGAAGGCTGAGAGAGAGGTAGCGAGGGACAAGGATAACAAAAAGGTGGAGGCAGAGAGGCAGAAAGGCAGAGACAGCAGCTGATATAGAGTGATAGTCATAATGGAGGCATGTGTGGAGGAGACGGAAGGCAGACATTTTGGTTGAGTATGAACTTTAATGAGTCACCACCAGGGCGTCTTCGTTCATTGGACATACACTCTGTCCCCATCCTCCCATGCCTCCCTCACTTTGGGTGCCTGCATGGGCAGAATTCACACAGCCCTCGTTATCCTCTGTGGAGATCAGCAGACATATGTTATATCACAGGTAAAAGCAAAAAAACCCATTGGTACATGAATATCTTGCCCCCTTGTCTGAGTAGACCCTGTGGTAAACCACAGACAGAAAGGCGAATGTAAATTGTCCAGTGTCATAATTCTGCACTGACTGACAGTTTGGCTCTGCAGAGAGAGAGGGAGAGAGTGCTGTGTGTGGGTGTTTTAAAGGTTTTCTTCTTGACAGGGGATATAACAAATCCTGAGCTTTTCTCTATTTGAAATTAATTCAGAAATATGACTGACATGCCATTAGTACAGGAATTTGGTTTGGTTTTGGTTAAGGTGGTGCAGGCACATTTTAACATCTCATACAACAAGATAGATTTGTAGTACCATACACAAATACAATACATAAAGACATTTAATTTAGGGCAAGAGGAATGCATGAAAGGACACAAAACAGACAGCTCACTGTATGTGTCTCTGTGTATACAGAAAAGCATGCTGTTATTAATGAATAGATAGACTAAATTAAAACTAGGGCAGTTTTTGTTGAAACTGTTGAGATAGTGCCCAGTAATAATTAGGCTTTTAACTTAAACAATACACAATACACAATACAATAATTTAAACAAGAATCCAGAGAAGTTACCATTTAATGTGTAAGAACCTAATAATTAATAAACCCCTAATTCAGAATTAGGACTTATATATATATATATAATAAATCCATGTGCATATTTGTGTGGCTTAAGAAAAGGTTTCATGGCAAGAAATTAAAAAATGTGTTGAGGTTACTTTGCATAAAAAAAAACTCTCTGTTTTTAACTGTATTTTATTGCTGCTCTCCAATCTGTAAATAAATGTACTGCAGCTCGGTCACATGAAATAGATAAGTACACTGAGGCTGCATTACTGGTTTCAAGGGAAAATCAATTTGTGTCTTTATGTGTTAGTCTGTCTCTCAGTACTTTCTGAATTCCCTACCCTGTCTGTGAGACTCAGCCTCCAGCACAGTGGGTCCTACTGAACATATAGATCACAAAATACTTTCATTTAAAAAATGGCTCAGTAATTTCTTAAAGCAGTTGGGCACTGTAGTTTAGAGCAAATGTTATTCAAGTAGCAGAAAATGCTGTATTTGTTGGGGACCATTTTGAGCTGAATACACATTTGGCATTCTGTTGAGTGATTAGTCGTGATTCGGGGCAGCAGGACTGTATATGTGGGACTGAGTTCAAATAAACAACAGTGTGTATCTTCACGGTAATGGAAGGAACATGTCACCCAGTGCAACAGTGTGGATATATCAGGCTTTAGTACACAGAACACTTGTTAGTATTCAATGTCTTTGTATGTTGCTTTTGGTCTTCACATTATTGTTGCTGAAAATAAGAAGAATCCTCAGACAAGGATGAGCACAAGGCCAGGCTAAAGTTGCATGAGCAACAACCCCTTTTCTCTCTTGGCTGAGCTGCTCGTCTGGATGAAACAAATTTTTCATAAATAAAAAAAGTTTTACTTTTGCTGCATAAATGCATTGATATAGTAATAGATGATATCTGACATTTTCCCCAGGTGGAAAAGCATTTGACACATCTTTTAGGCCACACTGGGACATTAAACTCCCCACTGAAACAAACAGGTATAATATCTTTCTATGATTGCTTTACATGGTTGCTAGTCAGGCCGTATTTGAGAGGCTATTTAGTAAGAAATCGGGAATAGGAAATGAAACGAATCTTTGGAGAATATTTAGGAATTGCACTTGAGAGACTGTGTAAGGCCTTCCTAATGCTTCTTCATAAGAAACTGATTAGTGTAAGAGCACTTTTTTGAATCAGGCCGCTGATGATGCTAAAATGTCTGTGGCATTTCCCAAAGGAAACCTATTTGGACAAGAGGAAATAGGCAGAAGAGAACCAGACGGTGATGGAAAACGAGAGGATGCTTTTGGTGGCTGACCAGTAGAATTTAAAGGGGATTCAATTTGAGGTACTGAGCTTTCTTGTTTCCTGCAGACAGAACATCCTTTGATGATTCAACCGAGGTTGTCATCGTAAGGGTGACGGTGAGTCCAGATGGATGCAGCTGATGACGGTTATTAAAATGAGATATTTAAACAGTCTTTTGCTGGTAATATACATTGTTAATTCACATTGTGTCACATTTTTAAACAAAAGTAAAATGAATCATCCTTTACTTGTATGCTGCATATTTAAAGATATATAATAGAGCAAGTTGATCTGAAGTGTCTCTCCTGAGGCTGATACTGTCTCTTGGATTCTAAAGAAATGCTTTTTCTGATGGAAAATGGCAGTCAGGTCTGTCTCTTCGTTTCCACCTGTTGTCATGAGAGAAATACATTCCAGCACATCATTAGGGACCAAAGCTAAGAACATATACTCATGGCTGTGTGAGGGAGGGATGACATCAGTCCATTTGAATCCAGATAAATTAAAGCATTTCTGACCTGAACCCTCGGGTGCAAGCACAGCTGTAAGTTTTAATGAAGATAAATTATTTTGTGTGAAACCTCAGATCTTACAGCAAAAAATATATTGCAGTCAGTTATCTTGTTAAGTATGCAACACCAGCTTGGATTCCTTTTATAAAGTGAACACCATACATGGAAAACACTGCAGTGTGGACAAAGACTGAATGTTCTTTATATGTTTATTTAACTGCTGTGTAACAATATTTCTTCACATTATGTATTTTTAAATGTTTTCCCAAGCCTTCAGAGTGCTTCTTTTGGCCCAGCAAAAGATTTACTATTTTCTCCTTCACAAAATATACATTTAATCCTTTAAAGACTCCATGCAAATTTCATAACAACTTAATGTTGACAGAACTGAACTCCCGCTGGATGTGAAGGGGAACAAAGATTGTCTTTCATATGAGTCTAACATATGTAGGCTGACAGGTATATAGTGCTCTGCCATTCAAATGCAATTACAATCCATTCATGTGACAATTTCAGTAAATGAATACAATCTCAAATCTCAAACCACATCAGCATTGGAGTTAATCAGTTTAGGCTGCTGTACAGTATATGTAAGCAATGAGTCACAAGACAAACAGAAAGAGTTGTTTGTATGGCACTGCCCTCTAGTGATGGCTCTTAAGTCTTGTTAAATTCTTTGCTGAACTGTTTCCTGATTTATGAACAATAACACACTATAACCGCTGATGTACAAATCATTGGCACATGTCTGAGCTGAACCATTATATTTAAGAATGAAACAGATGAGAGTAATAATTAATAGTTACAAAACATTGTTCTTATACAGAAAAGACTAAGTATGGTCAAGTTCTATTACAGCAATATATAAGGTCATAAGCTTCACATTTTTTCAGGTGTACTGTGACTGTAATTTTTCTTCCTCTCACCTGCTGGCAGGGAAAGGTTCCTTTCCAGATGCAATTCCAATGTAAGAAATGGAGGACAAAATCCACATTGTGTCCAAATGTATTCTGAAAATAAATCAGTGTGCCTCTCCAGTGACCCAGAATGCACAACAGCAGCACCCTGACTCTGTTTGACCTGAATGGAACAGAGCCTTAATTAGTATCATTGGTAATGCCTGTGTTTCTTGTTCAATGATTGCTGTAAAAAAGGTCAATTAAACATTTTAGCCTTCTCATCTTCACAAGCAGAATGGCATATTTTTCTTTCGTGGAAATCTCACTCAATAAAAAAACAGTTCACAGTTACTATAAAAATGTTAAACTTCATACATTTCAGGGACGTGCAGTACAACTGGAACTTGTCATAAAAAAACACTGAAAAATGATGGCATGTCATGAGTTCAACAGATTTTTACCTGACTCAGCACACATTACCTCCCTGAACTTATGGTTCCAATAAATCAAGAAAATGATTGTCACAGAAAAGATGTTTCTGAATACCCAAAATGCAAAATCAAGTATATTTTTTATAATACTCTTATTCTGAGATTGCCTGACTAAATAATATCTTAGACCATTTAAATATATATTTTAATATGCATTTTCTGACAATATAATTAAGATTATGCTTGGTGCAGCATTCGGTATGTTACTTCGTCTTTTGATTTTAAAGTAGGCTATTACAGCTCTAATAAAACTGCCAAAGGCTTCTTTAAATATCACATGGAATTAATGAAGCAATATATGCCACTTCAGAGGAATTCTCATGGGAATCCTCAACTGTGTTACAAATGTTCCATAGATTAATAGGTAAAATATAATATCCCTCCTACTGACCTTCCTGATCTGGAAATAGGTGTGTCTGGACATGTCCTCTGACGTGAAAAGGCTTGAAACCTTTCTGGTGATCCCATAGGCTCGCTTCCCTACGTCATGACGTCGTGTTGTTGGTGGAGGGGGAGGGCATCGAAGGGGAGCCACCAACCAGCAGCATCACCAGCGAGAGCGTCCGAAAGATGCTCGTGTTTCATGGGAGATTCAGTGGGATATAACGTTAATGGTAATAAAGCTAAAGGCAAAGCAGACTTGTAAGGACGCTGGCAGGAAAATGCGAACAGGTTAGTAAATGCTCGCTCTTAAACGTCAGCTATGCGGCTAGCGTGAGCTAAAATGAACTGTTAGCTAATGTATGTCGGCTCATTATTACCATATAGGCCTATACAATGTTTAACCTAGCTAACCAGAAACAGTCGCTAGCGGGTTTTACTGAATTTGACATTACTAGCGGCTGTATTGTTACTATGCCTGGCTAAAGATAACTGCTAGCTTGTTTACCTAGCAGTGAGATAATACTGTTTCACCCACTGGAACAGCTGGAAACCAGTGACCCACATTTTGCTACCAAAGCCAATTATTGCCCCTCTTTTAATGTGACACAGCCCAGATAACATTAACTAACATGAAGACACACCGTTAGTCTTACAGGGTGAAAGAAGCGAAAGAACTTTTTGTGGTTGCTCTGCGCTGGTTTGTGATGACCACAGGCTCCAGGTCACGGTTTACCACCTTTCAGTGACCTCTGCATCCACTGAGCGGCCGGTCATACAGCTGCAGGTAGGGTGCCACTGAGTCACACTGCAGAGGCAGCGCTGCTCTGTTGGACCTCCGTGCAAAGCTGTGACATGCCAACACAACTGGCCAGCTCTCACCTCTGGCTGCTTGTCATGAGATGTCCCCCCCCCCACCCCCTAAATGTTTGT